AATTAAAACATTCGCCTTTTAAGAAATTCAACAAAATGCATCGTGATAACTACATCAAATATAGCCGGGCGTGTTTACGATGCTGTGAATAGCTGAGGCGTAAGCATAATAAGGTGAGCACTTGGATACAATAACCGCTTTTATCCATGGATATGGTGATAAAATTTATTTGAATAAATTAAATTTTGTACGGGTTTTTTACAAAATCCGTATAGCAAAGCCTTATCCACGACTGAATCTGACCAGCAAAGTCTGCAATTTCAGCAAGGTATGTGCGATGAATATGCACCAATTCATGTTAACTTTGACGGTGATACATCACGTGCTCCAAAATAGGGTCTGAACTTTTTTGGTTCAATTTTACGCCAATACGTATTAAGGATGACGAGCAAAACTTCTTATTTTGGAAACTTCAATTTTTTAATCTTTCTCCGCTCAACACTCGAAATCTTATACTAAAACGTTAAATTTACGTTATCCAAGAGAATATCTAAAAGTCAAATAATAGTTTAGGGTTTTTAATAGTAGCAACACAAATATTTATTCCATTTCTCGACCTTTGCATCATAAAGTTTCTACTTTTTCTTGGGAGGGTGTTTCTTAGCTTACAAATTACTCTGTGTATGATTCAGTTTTCAATTTTATCTTAAGTGATATATGAATAATATTTGTCATTTCTCCATTACTTTATTTTCGAACGACAAACGAAGAAACCAACGTTAGAACATTTCTCTTTTGATCCATAATGATCAAACAACACCAGATAGGGGTCAGGGCAAGTGACATTATTCTGAACTTCGGCGTAGTATTTGAGTTCATCCCAAACACTATATCACCAAATCACTGGCTATGCATATCTCCTTCAAGAGAAACTAGCTTATTTTTAACCACGGAAATGATCAATAACAACTTTTCTTCGATGAAATGTCTTTTATTCAATGATCTAACTTGAATCAATTATAAAATGACTTTCAAATTAGGTCACCCAAATAATCTACGTAAGTTGATGTCTAAATTCAGATTTTAAGCCTTCTACTCTATAATAATAATAATTCAATGCTTACTATTTTCGTGTACCAGAATTTATGTCTCTTGAGACAAAATCGAAATTGCTAACTTTAAGTTTATCAGGTAATTTGTTAATTTAGACTTTTATTAAATGAAAATAGGCATATTTATTCTAAGTAATCAAGTCATAAACAGACGACTAGAAGCTAATGTGATTACAACGTTACGTAGCCTACTAGTTGATTAATAAACAGAAATGAATTTGTTTACTTCAGGAAGGCATTCAGAAAATGGTGACAAAAGTCGATATCCCGAAAATGTGGGTGGTCTGGTTTGACATTTCCTCAGATCTTTGACGAATAAGATTAATTTTATTGTCTAGACTGTCATCCAATTTTGCGTGGTTAGGGAAACAAAGTGAGTTTTCTGTCGATCAGCCTTAAAATGGGATTTAATTCAACTTTCCTTCTTTGTCGGGAATTGAAAATTGTCATTATTAAAGCTAATAAATAGGTATATAACTGAGAGCGATGTGAAAAAAATAATTGTTTATTTATTTGTTCCATATTTTTAAATTTTGAAAATATTTGAGTCATAATTATCCAAATATACCATCTTCATTTATTTGGAGACAGAATGAAGTTATTTCGACAAAGGGCTAATTTAGCTGAGGCCCCAATTTTTTTACTGTTGGAAGCAAAAATTTTAAATCGTATATATTTTAAGAATATAAATTCTTTCCAAGCAAACTATCTTCAAAATTCAGAAGTTCGCTAAAATTTGTTGACCCTCGCAGTTTTATATAAATAAACATTAAATATTTATTTGATATATTTCATTTTCATTTCAAAATTATAACCATATTTTCCTTAAATGGTGACGCTTCAAAATCGCTAGTTTATTTCAGACCAATATTGTCATATAGGGTTAAAATTTAATTAAAATGGAAAATCTGCTTTCCTTCGGAGAGTCCAAAGTTTACAAATAAACATAGTCATATTGAAGCTCCATCTCTCAGCGTTTTTGCTAATATAACTCAGCTAAGACCACGTGGAGATTTATCTGGATCAAAAGTTGTCGTATTTCACACAGTTTCATAGGAATTACAATATATATATATATACATATATATATATATATATATATAGACGTTGATTATTTTTCGTCGGTCCAAGGTTTATTTCCTGTTAGATGGGCATTTATTTGACTAGCATGAATATAAGCATTCTGAGCAAATAAATTTATGCTTGGTTGAATAAGCACAGAAAGTTTTGGAGTTTTCTTTTACTCAAAGAAATCGAACATTAACAACAAAATGGTCAATGATATCTCCTCGTTTCCATCGAATCATCAGATACTGAGAGGAACAGGAAACAAACCAGAACAATGAGTCATAGCTAAGTTTGAAAGGTATGTTTCTTAGAGAAATCTTGTCCAATAGGCAATGTGTAAAGGTAATTTTGAATCATATCCTCAAAGAAGTGTAAGCATAATAGTGAATGACGAACATGTATGCTGAATACAAATCCTAACAAGGACTTTGGATTCTTGAAGTAACCACGGTTCTACAGGAGAAAATATCGAAATGGCTCTCCCATAACAAATTCCCCGTTGGTTCAAACCTAGGTGAAGATGAAAACTCATATAACTTCCCAAAAGTGTGTATTGTATTAATCCTGGATTCATTCAAATGGGCTTTTATAAAGCTGCAAAATGTTCACCTTCCAATAGGGTGAAGAAGAACAAGCATATCGAATCTCATGGGAGAAATCTTCCTCACTTCCACAAACGATTCTTCAAAAAAATGATCATGCATTTATTTGCTTAACTGATAAAATATATGATACCCATTTTGCTCTATACCATTTTATATATTGTGCTACTGTGCCAATATGAATCATGCACTTCTTTGCTCCAGATACCTGATAACACCTCAAAAAGTCAAAACAATCGATTTTTTAATAATTTTATAATTTCATAAACATAAGTTCTGAAAACTTTATTACACTGAAACCCTGTAAAGTATTCAAATATTTGCAGGCATTTTGTAAGAAAGCCACTTAGCCAAGACATCTGGCTTATTTTAACTCGCAATAACCAACAACGAAACAGTTCAATTGATAAATTGATAAAAAATGGAAAAATATCGTTGATATGTTATAAGAGTAAAATATTGACCAATATATTCTATAGGTTTAATTTCATTATCATTTATATACCCCTGTGTTATCTTTGATTGGGTGTCCTTTACTCAAACGCAGTAATCAATGTACTCTTGTTTACATTTTTTGCTTAAAGACCTGATGGGCCCTATCAATAACTAGCATGTATTCACTCAATTTTAAAAAGAATATGTTCATACTAAAAGAACATTGTTTCCTCAACATTATTCAAGGTAATCGAGTGCTTTAACTACTGATCATAGCTATCCAATGAGATGAAGTATAGCGTTACCAATAATATTAGCATAAACGGACGCGATAGAAAAAAGATTTGTGACTTTGGGTGCTGAAAGACTGAGCTTGAACGGTTTCTGCCGTTGTTGATCAGATCTTTATGCCGCAGTCACCGACAGTTTAAACACTTCGGCTGTGTTGTAAACAGGGAAATATGCGTCCATGTACAGTGACGGGCGCGCAAATTGGTGCTTTCTTAACAAATAAATAACAAAGAAATAAGCCCGTATGTAAATTGTATGGAACGCATTTTACATGGCACAGATTTAAGCAAAGTAACGATAAATACTAGGTTGGGAATTTTTCGCTCTAAGTGGAACGAGGATCACAAGTTGGCAACAGATAGTACAAAAATAGGGATTCTATTTTCACATGTTTTGGTGTACTAAAATTTAAAATACTAGTCTTTCTGAAATATTACTCCGCGCAATTGTGAGCCTTGAAAACATTTTCATTTACGCCATTACCTTTTAACCCGCCAATAATTGGGATGGAATTAAAAAAACGTTGCCTTGGTTTGCATCTTAATAGTATGGATATACTAATTAATATAATAAAGTTATTGTTATATTCCTCAGAGACCATATGTATGAAAGGTGATGGATGCTTTAAGTTGCAAATTAAAAAGCTGATTTAATGGTTAACGATTAATTTCTCGCATGCAAGTCTACGTTTTTTCCCAAATGCATCATTATGACATGTCTTAGACTATGTTAGTCTAGCTAATTTTAACTACTGGCGGTAATCTGTGAAGGCTATAATAATTGGTTTTTTTTAATGACTCTATTGTCAATGTAGGGAGAAAATTTTAAGTGGATTAATAAAATTTTCTGGTAAAAGAATGGAAAATGAACAATCGGTAATATGTTTAATATGAAATAGTAACAAAAATGTCCATTCAAACTTTTAAAATCCAAAGAAGCTCAAAGTTGTGGCAATCTTTCTCAGAATTCGACAGATAATCGTCGTTGGTGACTTCTATTATGAAAGCATCTTTCAAACTTTCCCAATAGGTAATAATGAAAAAATTCCGATTCAAATAAAATGTAAACATTTAATCTTTACAGCTTCAAAGAATAGGCATTAAAACATCTGGCTATGTAAAATAAACTTCATTTCTTATTTCAATTTGAGTGAAATTCCTATGCTCTTCTCCGAAACGTGTGGAAACAGGAAATACTTTGATGTTAAAAATGCTTGATCTATTTATTGATTAAGCTAAGCGTACTGGCATGATAAAGAAAAAGGAAAGCTCTTTAATATGAAAGAATGAACCAAATTTTATATTTGAATTAAAAAAATAAAATTTAAAGATATGGATATATATATGTACTGAAAGAAAGATGTAATAAACCAATTGAGAGAACATATAAGAGGCTGAATTATTTCGCACTTGGCATTTAATTTGAGATCAAATTTTGCCAGCAAAAAATGCAAATTCACAGATCAATCATCTCCAACTAATTTTGCTAAAAACTTTTAACAAATGACTCGGAGAATATTAAAAAGTTGTATTTAAATAAGGAAAACAAGGTATTAAATAGGAAAGGAAATTACCCTGAAGTTATATTCGGTTTGGTTTTCCGCATCAAGTACACCAGATACATATATCCTTCCAGAAAGCGAATCTATCGCGAATGGCAAGTCCTCTTTGGAGACAAGTTCGAACCGCAGGATTTGTCGGTCCTCTTTGAGGGAGAGATATTTAAAGTTATTCCTTATATTCTTAGGTACGCCTTGCATAATTGAATCGGGATCAGTGACAGATACCTGCACGATATTTGACCCCAAAGTAGCGCTCTCCTTTATTTCAGCTCTGTATACCTCCTTGTCAAACACTGGAGGAAATTCATTATTATCGATTATTTCCACAAAGATGTTGTGATATGACTTTTTCACTGGAGTTCCAAAATCTCGGCATTCAATCTTGACGGGAATAATCCAGCCAGAATTGCATATGGAAGTGTGCTTATCCCTCGAGTGTATCTCACAATCCAGCATTGTTTCTAGCACAAGTTTATATACAATTTTACTACTGGATATCTGTTGTCCGGGAACAAGTTTAATGCTCTCTCCGAATGGAATTTCAGGGCGGACGTGCAGCTGACAATCAACTTGGGCATTCTCCCCTACATCAGCATCGGTTACTTGAATAAATGCTATATTAGAGGGCGCCATATTGTCCTCGAAAACTTGGATGAGACTAGCTTCTTCATTCGTGTCGGAGCAAACCCTTGTAGCTTTTACATCAGCAAGGTTGCAAGAGATTTTTGAGACTTTTGAAAGTACAGATTTGACCGTCTGTCTAGATCCATACCTTATTTTGCTAGAGGCGGGAAGAACACTGATTTTTGGTGCGTGGTTGTTCACGTCAATAACGTAGATGGATAAAGTAGATCGACTCATTCGGGATTCTGGTTCACCACGATCCCTAGCCTCTACCCAGAAATTGAATTTGGTTCCACCTTGCAAGGAAGATGTGAGAAAAATTTCGCCAGTGTTTGGATCCAGTCGAAAATGTCTCTGACTGCTCATCCCATCTGGAAAGTCGCCAACAAATGCGAATCGAATGCTTCCAAATGCACCACTATCTACATCTGTTGCATTTAACTGTGTCACTCGGGTTCCAACAGGTGTATCCTCAGATAAAACAAATGAAGCATTTTCATTCTGAAACACTGGAGCATTATCATTTACATCATGAACGGAAATACGAAGTGGTAAAGTGGAGCAGTGCATTGGTGTTCCATTATCACATACACCAAGTGTGCAGTTGTACGATTTCTGTCCTTCATAATCCAGTGGATATCTCAAGTGAAGTCGGATCGGACTACTTTTAGAAGATTCTTCTTTAGAAATGCCTAATTTTCTGATTTGATGCAAACCGAATGGGTGATTAGTTTGCTCATTCTCACATTTGAGGTTGTAGATCAATTGTCCGTTCTGTAGACTGTCTAAATCGATCGCATCAGGAAGAGGAACTTTTGTGCCAACTGGAGTATCCTCGGGTAAATCTATCACTTTATATGAATCTGAGGAATCGTTGTTGAAATGTGGCGCACAGTCATTAACATCGTTAATCACTATTTTCACTTTAATCCAAGATTGCTCAGGTGAAAGGGGAGCTGCAGACTTGTCACTCCGAGAAACTGCCACACCGTAGTTGAGACTACATTCCTTATCAGTTCCTGAAGCAAAAGGACATAAATTCTCTCGATCAAGATTTCTTGAGTCTAAAACAGTAATCGCAGAAGTTATTGGATCAATTTGAAAAATAGAATCCGTGTCATTGGCTGAGTTGGATGAAACTATATGCTCTGTGGAATCTGGAACGCTTCCTAAGTTGTAGATTTGGTACCGCAAATTAGTTCCAGACTTTAGAAACGGTAGATGCTCTCTAAGGACTCCTACAATAGTTCCACTTACAGCATTTTCAGATACATAAAAGGGGATTTCATTATACTCCGCTGTATCAGTGGATTTTACATAGGGAATGTTTTGACCAAGTGTATCGTGCGGCTTCTGTAGGATGCTCATTAATAATAAAATCACGAGGGGTGAATAAATATCACCGAAAAATGATAATCCAAAGGTTAGAAAACTTCGCATCTAGCATGGAGGGAAGAAAATTAAATTGGATTTCAATTAATTTTCATGATGGCGTGAAAAAGAGGGTGTTTTGACGACCCAAAAGAACATATTCATTCTTACGCATTTTCCAAGGCAAAAAACGAGCTTCATTTTGGGCAATGTGATTGGCTTAGCTTCTAGCCATTAAGAATTTAGCAGGATAACCGACCAATAGAAATTTCGAAAACGTAATGCCGAGGAGATTAGTGTTAATCACAAAGGATTAGTAATTCCTTAACTCAAAAAAATAATTTTGGCAATTAAAAATGACAACCATATTTGGGTCTAATAATTTTATATTTTGATAAACTAATAGACAAACTCCTTTGTGCCTGAAATTTTTATTTATTTAGTAAAAATAGTGAACTTCATTTTACTAACTCAGTTGATTAGAAATACCTCTAAACTTATACGGTTAACGATGACTATCATCTATGTTTTGTAAATGAAGAGCATGGAGTATGCTTTGTCTATGTATAGACAAATTACATTTTGCAGATTGTTACGGAGGCACCCAATCGACAAATCGGAATGCCAGCAAACCTTGTCCCAGTCTTTGCTAAACCAAATGGTAGTAAAGTGAAGTCATAAAAGTATTAACTAAGTTACAAACTGAGGCCCTTAAAGCGTATATTTTAGCCTTTAATTGGCCGCCTTCAGTAATATTATTTGCTGACAGCTGCGAACGAAACAAAGTTCTAGAACAATCTCAGATCTGTCAGTTCCGCTTGTTGACAAGCGGGTTCCCATCAGGCTAGTAGCTTGAAAGTTCTTTGTGACAAAACTCTTACCATTCTGGCGATATCTTGTTCGCAGAGAAACTTTAAGTGCAAACAATATGTATTTCAAGATAGTGTCTTTGTTTGGTCAATGAAATACCTCGAATGAAATGCACGCTATATTTGCCTTCTTCCACAAGCAAGGGTCAACTACAGTCTAGTGGCATCCATGGGACATGGATGAGGTGCGCTTTACAAATTTATCAATTACTAAATCGATGTTATCTTGATATTGCATTAAAACATTTTCTTTGAAGTATGCGATTTCAAACCTGCACACTTACACAGTAGTGGCGACTGCATTAGCAAACTCTCCTGATTTAGAAGCTTCATTTCAAATACTTTGAGTTAAAAATGGTAAATCAGCTTTTACCAAAGTGCAAAGCATAAAGTGCAATGTGATGCTGTGAAGAGGTTCGGGGAATTAATTTTAAGGATTGTTCATCGAAAATCGGAGATAAAAACTGCAATAGATCCAAAGGAGACCTTCAAACGCCAGATGCTTGATCATTACTTTCCAAGGATTTTTCTAATCATGTTACTGGAAGTTAATATTTTAACACCTCTTTGATTTGTGGTTTTTTGATAGAACCTTTTAATAAATGGCCTTATAACAAAATATTGGAACTTTTTTACAAATTTCAGGGTGTCAAAAGCATAATTTTTCCCATTTCAAAACCGACAGTTTGTATAACCACCACGCAGTCACCTTTACATGGACGGATTTATCTAAAATATTTACAAGTATCTATTTGGAAAAGTATCCTATGCCTTTATCTTTCAGTCTAAACAAAAGTATTTAAAATTATATTGAGTATTAAGCTTTCCATCTGCATTTTTAAGTTACTAGTCCAAGTTGTATCATCGATATAATTCTTTGGTCAAATGAACCAAATTTAACTATTATAAACCGTGTTATATCTTAGATTTTGTCCAGGGAAATAGCAATATAGCCAATAGATATAATCAAAAAGATTAAAAACAGAGGAGAAGATACTGCTAAATAAATTACAAATATCAAATTTCTGCTCTTGTCTTATTTATGCATTCAATGAATTGTTTTTTGTCTTATCTAGCAGATTCTGAATTTCTATTCGCCAATCAGAGTTTCTGAAGGCCATATCATAACTGCAGGGTTCAGAGCTTGTGCAACACTGACCTCAACGCCCGCCAAACCAAATAATTACCTACAGAACTATAAACAAATTTGCATTTTCATTCCTGAAATAAGAAATATCATCAATTTGTTGAGTTTGGAGGACTCATGTAAAAGAGCGAGCACATTTTCTGACTCTAATTGAAATAAGTAAGACCACAATTTAATGACATAATATATAGGGTTATAGGTCTCTCCGGTGTGAAATTCTAATTCTTCTATCTCACATACTATTGCGGCCTAACTAATGCGGTCAGTCAGTGAATACACTGGGCGCATCGAACTGATGTCCTATAATACCCTTGTAGGTTATATCTTCAACCACTCCTTTTTTCTCAGTCCATAATGATCTTTTCATGTTTCGCTTTAAGTTCTCATGTTCCTCCCTTTCCTTTATGAAGATTTGCAGTGTTTGCAAGTTCACAAAATTTATTTACGCTCTTTGATCCACGGGTATGTATTGATAGGTGTTATGGATTTTTTTATTACTTTCAATTCACTAGATGCGGCTGTAATTTACTCACGAAATTCATTCCAAATCTCTCTACATTACTAAAGAAAATTAATGCAACAATAAAAGGTTTACAAGCTATTCGCTAGAAAAAAAGATGAAAAATGTAGTGAACCAAGGTCCCTTTTCCCTCTACTCTAACAGAAAACTTTAGACCTAAGTTTCGATTCAAGAATTCAACGAGGATTTTCAGCGCAAATGCAGTTGTTTTTTCGTTTCTTTAAATCTTTCACCCAAAGTATCGAAATTTTAGCTGATGGAAATGTAAGTATGAACACATGGACTGAAAGGTACCCGAAATGCACACTTTAACTTTTATGAAATTTTGATGATTGTTTAACAAAAATTGAATGTCTGCTTCCAAAATCACCCAAAGCAATAGTTGAACAGCTAAGTTTTAATTCAACAAATTTATCATTATATTCTCTAGTTGCCTTTAAGCTTCTTAAAAGTTATTCTGCATGGTTTCTCTCTTTAAATGATACCAAAATGTCAATCGAATGCGAAGATATAGCTACTCGAAGATTATCAGAGGGAAAGTGCACAACGATTTGGTGGAATGGATTAAGAATCAAAATTAAGTCCCTCAAAATTATTTATTTATTTTATTTATATCAAATGGCAGGCGTCTT